TGCGAGTCGACTCCAGAAAATTACGCTATTAAAAAAGGGAGGAGTGTTGGGACGGTATATCCCCAAAATTCATATTTGTAATTTTATCATATCGATTAACTTATCGATTAAATATTTAAATATTTGAATGGCAGTCAGTTGATTAAATAGCAGACAACTGATGACTCATTGATTATTGTTTAAAAATTTCCTATGACAAAATCGATATATATTTGTATAAATACGCTTGACTTGTATGCTTGATCTGATCTGCCTGCCTGACTTGGTATCTGCTGTTGCTTATAGAATACACATTCTACGCCTTACCAAGACTTCTTGATCGAGTTGGCTGAGTCGAAGACAACGGACCAGAATAGTCTATTGAGTCTCTGAATCCTGAGCCTTCGTTCCGTACCGAATAAGTTGAATCAGTAGTATCCTCAAGGTTAACGAACCCAGCACAATGAAAGGAGAACAGCCTATATCTACGGTGAACCAAGTTTCTGTAACAACGACTATATCGGGACATAATTCTTCCACCATCAGACTTAGCTCGGACGTTTTATTTCTAAGACTACGAGCGTTCGTGTAGCACACACTTAAGGTGTTTTGGCAATCAATCGTTCTACCCATACAGGCTTCGGAAGCATTGGCTTCCAAGACCCGACTACCCGAAAACCCTTAATGGTAAGGTTATTTTCGCCATTTAATTTGCGAGTCCTCAACTCCGTAAGAGCATTCTTCCACTTGATTCGATCCTCAAGCGGCCAATCTGGTCGAATACGGATGTTTGAGGTACGAGTTTTTTTGTCCGCTTTTCAATAATATGTCTCTTTCTTCAAAACTCCCGAGAACCAGCTTCAGAATTCTTCTTGGTTGGGTCTCGTCTCCAACCCATTTACCGAGTCGTATTACATTCGTGATATGTACCCCTGGAACCTCTTCAGGTAGTACATTTCTTACCAGAGATTCCACCAACTGCAGATCATGTGCACTTCTCTTAGCAGGGTCGTTATCTTTCGACCCCTCTAGATTCCAAATAATTAAACTAGGAAGGGGTTTAGATTCTCTTGAAACTGTGTTCACAGCTTTCAATCATGACGTTAGATCCTGTATTTTAATTACTGGTATCTTACGATTGGTTTTTATTGTAACAGAGTCCTGGGAGTCGAACGAGTGACTCACAACAATGTTAGACGAAGCTTTAATTTGGAGCTTTGACAGATTGGTCTGAGAGTCCACCAAGGACTTATCAAGTAAACAGTCATTAGTTTTAGCTGTCTTCCCTACTCTTTTGCGTTTTCGCGTAAGCCATTTTCCATCAGTCGACACATCTACATTACAACAACTCGGAACAGTAATTGTCTTATCTGGATCACTTGTCGCAGCTGTAGCAATATGGCCACCAACGTCTAATGAGAGGTCACTCACTGATCGTTTCGGGGAAGAACGTTTAACTGCGGGTTGCACAGGCAGATGTCTAGCTTGCGCCGTGACAGCACTTACGACACTAACGCAATCTTCGCCATCAGTACCAATGTTACCAGTACGGCCCACATCAACCTTCTTATTAGCCAACATCAGGAGGCTAATTGCTTCCTGGATGAGTAATGTTTTGCTCGAGCAACAAAAACTACAAAGCCAATGAGAGTTGGGCTTTGAGCGCCTTTTATATGCAGTGGGGCTTAAGCGGGTGCACATCTTATGGAACCACTTATTACACTCATCACATTGCATCCCTTCCTCCACGGGGAATAAGCAATATGGTTGTCCACATTTATGAGCAGAGCTGGCCATCTTGAAAATCAACTAGAACGGTGACAAAAACAGGATATGTAAAAGAATTGTCAAACCTTAATCAAATAAATCAAGCAAAAGTCGACCAAGTATGCTTCGATGCAATAAATACAGAAAAGCAAAATCGAAACACTCAATACAATATCACTTTAACTGGAGTAGATGCAATTAAAGTGTAAACAGTAGTTTTGATGCGTGACTGACGATTAAAACAGTTAATTAACTCAACGAGAAACAATACCACTGTCTTTTTAGATAGCGCGCGTTGGTATTCAGTTGTCTGTTAACTAACATGCGCTTTGTTTTACCGTATACAAATGACCTTATCTCTTATAACTATTATTTAAGAGTGTGGTAAGTTATCACGCGTCTGTTGAGGACATGGCTCTTGGTTGTGGGTACAAGTGTTTGCAATGTTTGCTAGTTATTTTCAATTGTGGAGCATTCGTAAGTTATATCCTATGTTTTGGTAAGATAAGTAGATATGTGGTCTCGGGCTGATTGTGATTGGTGCACTTGGGCTCCATTCTGTTGTAAATCACTGGAAAGACATTGAACCTCCATTACAATCGCTCATTATCTTTATCATTGTCCTCGGATGCTTCTTATTTGTTTTGGGGGCTTTGGGGATGTTTGGCGCATGCACGAAGAATGTTTGTTTATTAACGACGGTAACGAAAACTATGGAAACTTATTATGTCCTTGTAGTACTGCATTCTTTTATCAATTTTGATAGTTGCCGAAATAGCAGCAGGAATATTTGCTATAGTGGAAAAGCCCAAGGTAAGAGTTAACTGGCAAACACTGTTTTTATAGGTCAAAAAACACGTCACTGATGCGTTAAGCGAATTCGTAAAAGAGTACTATCACGACGAACGTGTTGGAAAAGTTCTCGATGAAGTTCAACGAAAAGTGAGATGCGGTTCCCACCATAAATTTTTATTTAGTTACAATGCTGTGGTGCGGATTCTCCAGCAGATTATGGCATTAAACAACCAAAATCCTGTTTCAAAGATGGCATAATGTTTACAGAGGTAGATTTATATAAAGCCCTCATGTTTTTGATTGGTTTATGATATTTGTGGTTCATTTTTAAGTACTTAACAAGGCTGAGGAATAAAAGTTATAGCAGAATAAGAACAAGCAAACACTGAGTGTTCATGTCAAAAAATTACGGTAATTATAAGACTGAATCATGTACGAATTTGATAATATACCGGAGAAAAGTTCAAGATATATCATAAGCCATATTAGTTAAAAAAATTTTTGCCAGGTCTCTGCAGGGAGATGTTCATTCACGTTAGTAAAAAAATATGACTGAGTATTAAGTGACCAAGACCAAACAGTCGGTTAGCCCAATAACTCACATGAGGAAAACCACTTCAAGCCAAAACTTTCAGTATTTTTTGTTGAAGGCAACGAGTACAGAACACATCTACCCCATCCTAGAACTAATCCACATGCCTGCAGTGTCAATTCTACCCAAGTCAGTCGAAGCTGGAGGAACCGAATATTCTTATACCATGTTCCTGGAATTGTTATCTCTATGGAGAACCTTGTATTTATCTGGCTTTCGAAATAACCCTATTATATGACGTTTGTAGGATTGGTTAATAGGGAAAAAAGAAGGTAATGGGTCGTTAAATAATTTCCAATCATAAGTCACAATTAAGTCACCTTCTTATGTATGATAGATGAATGTGAGGATTTTATGCTTTTCACTGACTAACTTGGAACTTCGGTAATTGTACGTAAACCGGTCTTTTGGACCGGTTTTGTATAAAACCTCAACGTGTTTTTCGAAGGTAAGCGTTCAAACTTCATGTAGTTTTCTTATTTGGATCTGTATACCACTCTTCAAAGCGTGATATGGATGCTTTCCTCATTGTTTCTGAATTTTATCATCGCCCATAATGCTTTGAAATCTCTATATAAAGTTAAATTATGGTGGGTAGTGGTTTTGAAGTCATAGTCTGCTATGACTAATGAATTGCTATGATTGGAAAGAACTAGTGGGGATTTGTAACTATTGTCATCTGTACGAATATGCATCAAACTAGACTGTTAAGATTTTGCCGTGTCTCTGAACAGTTAAGTAGTGTGTTGAAATCTCATACAGCTTAAACATCAGAACAAATCTCTACTTACCGGTGTGTTTGACTATCATCTGCTTGATGCAGTATGGCAGTTTATAATCGCACTAGGAAACTCGACAATCCTAAACATGAGTGAAGGGAGCCTTGGTAATGTTTTAAATAGTAATCTGACGTTTATATTTTCCAGTAAAAGACTTTATAACTGGTTCATATCGTACGTCTTTGATAGACAAGAAATAGATTTCTGATGGTGCCTAAACGTTCAAGCTTAAACAGAAGTCCAGGGTGTAGAACATTTCTAGTGAGTATAACATTCTTAGTGTTCGATGGAACCTAGGAAGTCCCGTTATCATTGGATTTCATCAAGCGCTCAGTTCTCAGGAAAGTTTTTTTCGAACACAGATGACTGTTTTCAGATCCATTCTGTCTGCTACCCAACAAGTAGGAAGTTTGTGAAAACTTCATAATGAGTTTTTGGCAACCTATTGGGTGGTAATAAGGGTTAATCCAAATCCCAACCGAGGGAATATATTTTTAAATAATAGAATAAAATGATCATTGAATTCATTCGCTTCTATATTTTAGTAGCTTATCTTACAATTTGTGGTCTAAAACGTAACAGTTCCTTTCTAAGATATACTACAAACTTAATAATTTTTCGTTATAACTCTTCTACACAATAATAACTGGTAAAAATTATCACTGCTATGGAAAATTACAGGGCTTCTTTTATATATGTTGGCGACTCTTATAAAACATAAACTGTTGTACAGTATCAACTACTACAAAATATGTTTTAGTAAAAGCTATGAAGTTGTTGATTTTGGTATACTGTCACTAACAGCTTACGAACTCAGGAAAGTTAGCATCAATAAGCCGTATAATTTTCCAACTCATTCTAAAAATTCCACTTTCTGGATATGATATCACTATTAATACGAGAGGAGACATAAACTAATAGTCACAGTGAGATATCGAACGTGCGTGTTATCTAAAATATTTAACAAAGGGTGAATATTAATAGGGGCTTCCAAACAGAAGACCATAATGAAACAAGTATTCTTTTTACTCTCTCTGTAGTCAGTCTCACAACAAATGAAATAGGGTTTATCCTGTGGAATAACTATTATTTTCTTATTTCATTATTCTTCTTCGTTTTAGGGGTGCGTTAAAAAGGTCAGCGATCTAAGCAAAATGCACCTCAATGCTATCATAATTAGCGTTTTTCTGTTCGCATTGGTTCAAATGGTTTGTCTGGTATTTGCAGTATGTGTTCTGTTGGCTATAAAGCGCGGTGATGATGAATAAAATAACAGAACGAAAACGTTTAGTAAAAAACAAATGGGAATAAGAACAACCATTAAAAAATTAAGCAAACAACACCCTAATTTTTAACACTCAGCCGAGACATATTTACTAATTATTTTTGTATGCATTGGATTGTATCGTACGCGAGGAATTTTTGGCTTTGTGTTTCATCTCTTTCAATAAACTCTTTATACCGTATTCAATGTGAAGTTAGTAAATTTATGACCTTATTTTTAACACAACGATTCAATTATTCTTCGAGTTGCCTCTTGCAATATATATATAATCCTGGGTAGACTAGAAGTGATTCTCATGTCATAGTTCATTGTTGCAGCTTATTGAAATTTTCCCTTCGTATGAAACAGTAGGTTTTTGACGCAGGGGTTATAAACTAATGTAATCTACTGACCGTCTAATTATTTAGAAAGCTGTGAACTAACATATATATACAACCAACGAACTATAAGAATTTAAATCGATATGTATGTAGAGACTTGTTGAGGAAACTATCTACAACAGTGGGGTACTGCTATTCGGGAGTTACGCATACAGATATCAAATAAGAAGCGAAAGTTTTCTGGAGCGTCTAGATGGTTTAGTGAATAATTTACCTCTTTATGAATTCTAGTATGCATTCAAGCAGATAATTTACCACCGCATTTCTAATTATCATTCTTCGTGTCAATACTAGGTGTCAAGTGAATTTAAATTTATTGTCCTTAAAAAAATTAAACAAAAATATACCTGGAGAATTCCTGCTTAAAATGAAATTAAATATAAAGGCATCCACTTGAATAAGCATGAGCTGCGCGATGACATGAAGCAATTCGGTGTCTCGATTTGACTTCGCCACGTCAATTTATCGAAGCACAGTTAAGTTTTCATCAACAGTATTGTTCAACTAAGTTTGTTTTCATATAAAGTTTGGGCCTTTAAACTTAAATGAAGGAAGAACAACGACCAAAACAGAAGAATTGGAATTTATTTACTCATTAGATCATATTCATTTGCTTATCCTCTCAAAATAATAGTGCTAATTATTTAGCAACAAATTGGTTCACATGCTCTTTATTAGAGAAGTACTCATCACTAACATTTTATACAAAGAACGATAAGTATGAAAAAATGCTTATAGGCGATATTCATGTGGTTGATGATAAATGTCAAAATTCTATAGAGAATATGGATATAGAAAAAGGCTGATGAGAAAATATAACAACAATTTCAAAAGAGACTTATTCATATGGTTGAGATGAGCAAGGCTCAAATCAGACCCAATAAAATGAGTTAGTAGTCGCATAGACAAAATGAAATGATGAAAAACTGAGGTAATCTAGTCATTGAAAGAATAACAGTTCGACTTTGAATGGATACATCCGGTCCAAGACCTTCGATAACTATGGGTTTGGTAAAACTTTAGAAGTCCCATCCCCGTCGCCAATTGTTATAACTTGTGACCGCCGATTAGAGAGCAGTGACTTATCGACCAGGCCAATGGCGCGTAAACCCACATGAGCAGCCTAGAGTTCTAATTGGTCCTCCTTTCCGCCTAGCCCAGTCAGTTAAGTCCAGAACACCAATCCGAGCCTCTGAGGTATGAATCGTTATATTTCAAGCATGCTAAGTTTATATATCAATCAAACAGGCCAAAACGTACCAATAAAATATGAAACAACATTTGTACAAGAATTGACTAGATGTGGCTGTGAATGAGGGAGGTAGTAATTATTATACTGGGTATAACTGAAGAATGGTAAAACGTATAATAATAGTTTATAGGTCAAAATAAAGCTTATAATAAGAGAAATATGAATATGCATAGTTTAGTTATTAATAGATTATACAATAGAAATATATGTTTAGTATTGGTCCATAAATGGATCCCAAAAGTTACCATTCATTATTCCTATCGGGACATAACAGAGCCATTACCTAATTAATAATTTCGGGATTTCAGCATCGTGTTTGCCATCATGCAGATGACGGTAAATTTTAATGTTAATATCATGTTGACCTTTTGGGGTTAGATGAACGATAACTCACCTTTCTGTTGTTTTGACGTGTGATTCAAAACACACACTTAAACTGGGAAACAGATGTAGAGGTAAAACGAGATGAGTATTTGTTTATATTTCAGTATCTCAAAAAAAAACGATTTTTTTGTTATAGTGAGATAAGTCTTGTTTCACTGCGTAAGTTCTTAGTAATGTAGACCATAGTTTTCAGTCAATTGTCCCGGGTATATGTTCATTTGTGGATCAGAATCGCAAAATATCTCTTTAGAAATGCGTCTTTATTGACTAGAACTGAAAAGAATCAC